ATACAATGGAATATTACTCGGCCATAAAACAAGAATGAAGTAATGCCGTTTGCAGCAACAGGGATGGACCTAGAGATTATCATACTAAGTAAGTCAGAAAGAGAAAGACAAATACCATACGATATCACTTATATGTAGAATCTAAAATATGACACAAATGAACTTATCTACGAAACAAAAACAGACTCACAGAAATAGAAAACAGACTGGTGGTTGCCAAGGAGGCGGGAGGTGGGGGAGGAATGGATTGGGAGTTTGGGGTTAGCAGAGGCAAACGATTATACATAGGATGGATAAACGACAAGGTCTTGCTGTATAGCACAGTGAACTATAACCAATCTCCTGGGATAAACCATAAGGGAAAAGAATATGAAAAAGAATGTATATATAAGTGAATCACTCTGCTGTAGAGCAGAAATTAACACAACACTGAAAATCAACTATAATTCAGTAAAATAAGTTTTTTTAAAAAAAGGAATCCTTTCCTTTCCCTATGTCATAAAGGCCTTCCATGGCAGTTACACATTCAGGCTCTCATTCCATCTGGAGTTTGTTGTTATGGAGTGTGAGGTGAGCGTCTGGCTGCCCTTCCCTGCAGAGAGTCGGCCCTCTCAGCGCCGTTTACTGAACTGCCCAGACTTCCCATCCACATGAGCCTCTTCTGTTTACATACAAGCTCCCACATATGCCTGGGTTGGAGTCAACTCCACCAATGGACCAGACCATCACTGGGCCAAGGCGGAGCTGCTGTGATCACCAAGGCTTATGGTGGCAGAGACGCTGCCCATCTCCCTTCTCAGAGTCGTCTCTGGTATTCCAAGACCCTACTCTTCCTTTGTGTGATTTCATACTCCATATCAAAACCTATCAGCACTTAGGTTGCTTCCATGTCCTGGCTATCAGAAACAGCTGCAGTGAGCATTGTGGTACATGACTCTTTTTGAATTATGGTTTTCTCAGGGTATATGCCCAGTAGTGGGATTGCTGGGTCATACGGTAGTTCTATTTTTAGTTTTTTAAGGAACTGCCATACTGTTCTCCATAGTAGCTGTATCAATTTACATTCCCACCAACAGTGCAAGAAGGTTCCCTTTTCTCCACACCCTCTCCAGCATTTATTGTTTGCAGATTTTTTGATGATGGCCTTCTGACTGGTGTGAGGTGATACCTCATTGCAGTTTTGATTTGCATTTCTCTAATGATTAGTGATGTTGAGCATCCTTTCATGTGTTTGTTGGCAATCTATATATCTTCAGATGAATGGAGAAAGAAGATGTAGCACATATATACAATGGAATATTACTCAGCCATAAAAAGAAATGAAATTGAGTTATTTGTAGTGAGGTGGATGGACCTAGAATCTGTCATACATAGTGAAATAAGTCAGAAAAAGAAAAACAAATACCGGATGCTAACACATATATATGGAATCTGAAACAGAAGATGGTTCTGATGAACCTAGGGACAGGACAGGAACAAAGATGCAGACATAGAAAATGGACTTGAGGACACGGGGAGGGGGAAGGGTAAGCTGGGACGAAGTGAGAGAGTGGCATGGACATATATACACTACCAAATGTAAAATAGATAGCTAGTGGGAAGCAGCCGCATAGCTCAGGGAGATCAGCTCGGTGCTTTGTGACCACCTAGAGGGGTGGGATAGGGAGGATGGCAGGGAGACGCAAGAGGGAGAAGATATGGGGATATATGTATATGTATAGCTGATTCACTTTGTTATAAAGCAGAAACTAACACACCATTGTAAAGCAATTATACTCCAATAAAGATGTTAAAGTAATTTTTTAATTAAAAAAATACTTTGTTAAAAAAAATGAATACCACATGGTTTGAATAGCAAATGTCAATATGTCAAATTCCACTATTAAAAGATAAAAATTCCCAAACTGTCAAAATCAAAAATAAATAAATAGCTCATACCTGGCTTAAAAAAAAAAACAAAACCTATCGGTATCACAACTAGACGACACTCAATTTACACGTTAATTCAGGGGACCTGTGACAGTCAGCCCTCCCATCAAGAACATAATCTGTCTCTCCATCATTCAGGCCTTCTTTCTCCTAATGCTTCTTTAAATGTTTTGTAATCTTCTCCACGAAAGTCTCGCGCTACTCTAAGATTTATTCCTAAGTCTCTAACAGTGTCTACGCTGCAGGGAATTATAATTCCTCTCATCTTTGCAGCTGTGGCCACTGTCGGGCAGCTCCTGTTGATCAAGCACCCACTCAACTCTCTCATTAGTTGGTCTCCAGGTTCTCTCGGATTATCCTTGTGGCTAATTTTGTCATCTGTCAAGAGTGACATTTGACTCTTCCCAATTTTTATTCCTTTTTTTGTAAATTGTGTTGCATTATCTGGGGCCCCCAGGGCCAAAAGAGGCTCATTTGTCTTGTTCCTGATGATGCATATTGTTAAATGGAGCGGATCCAGAGCCTTTATCAGACTCTGAAAAGGACCCACGATTCAAGAAAGATGAAAAACCATTGGTCTAATTTACCTTTGCACCACATAAAATAAACAGAATCAGGTTATCAGTTGTATGAAAGAAAGAAAGTAAAGCAATCAAGCCAGAACTTGAGCGCAGCAAAGACTTGGGAGAAGAAGAGTCAGGGCAGGTACCGGGCATAACACTAACTGCCCATGAAGGGTTGGGGGAAAGAGTCGCCCAAAGGAGACCCGGGACCAGAGAACGTAGCAGGAGACGAAGTGGACAAATCACAACTGTTGGAGGTGACACACTCTTATTGTGTGAACACAAACAGCTTCCAGCCCATGCTTCACCGCAGTTCACTCACCCATAAATCAAAGCTAATAATATCTACATCTTATTTATGAGTCACAAATTCTCCTGGCTGAAAAAGGCAAATAAGGTTTTTAAAGAGTTCTTAGTGAATAGGCAGAAGGTGGAGTGCTCCAGGCCTTTTCCACATTAGCAATGCACGTGGGGGAGGTGGGCAGGAAAGCGGGTTTGGGAATAAAGAATAACAGGCCCTCTTTGAGTAACTGCAAGCGCGCGTGGACGCGCGCACACACACACACTCGCCTGACACAGCTCGTATCCCAAACCAACCAGCCCCTCCGTTTGAGAGTGCCTCCAGTGGCAGCCCCAGAAGCACGCCCACCAGGCTGAGCGACCACGTTGTGTGCAGTCCACCCTGGCTGCCCTGGACCAAGTGGGGAGACCCTGAAACGCTCCCCCAGAAGGTACCGGGGGGAGGGGTGCACACCCTGAGCAAACTTCTCTCCCACAGGCAAAGTGAGGACAGTGGACTTCATGCACAAGCAACTCAGTGAGTCAGACAGAAGTTGTGTCAAAGATCGGGCGTGGCCAGGGGACTGGCATTTCTGATCCCCAAGGACAGGAGTCATGAGGGGGAGTCACGATGCCTCTCTCCTGCAATGTCCAGGAGCTCTCCACTCAACTTCAGTTCCCCTCTGCTCATTTAATTATAAGAGCCAGAAACCCAGGCACTTTGTAATTTGTAATTTACCACGCCATTTAAGAGTCACTTCTAGCGGAAGACAAATTGCTGGACCATCCGGGCAGAGCAGCCAAGTTTAGCAGGAGCTGGGGCCCTAAGCCAACAGGGCAAGCAAGGCGCCGGATGGACCCTGAGGAGCCCCTTCTTCAGTCTGGACCGTGAACCAGGGAGACTTAGGAACCACAGGGAGAATTGAAGCCAGTGCTACCCAAAGGCAAATCTTAAATCACAGGATGTTTGGACAGACTTGAGTGGTCAAAATACAACAAAAAAAAGATATACAAAGGATGTGATGGGTTCTTTCAGACACACTCTAACCTGCGGTGTGAAGTACAGCTGAAACAGGTAGAATCCACTTTTCCCAAAGGTGGCACATCTCACATTAGCAGCATCTGGACTAGACTCAGGATGCAAAGAGATGTCATTTACATTAGGGCCGCACCACACTTTGCTGGCTTCTGTCACGGATAACGATGAAACTAAATTTAACGCCACTTGGCAGTAGGGCTTGAGTTATGAGCGCGCGCGTCCCTGTCACTCCATTTGATCCTCTAAGTGTGTAGTTTGTAGGAGACTTGTTCACTGCACAGAGAGGTCCACTGGTAGGACCGCACATTTGAGCCTGCTGCGGCCCCTCCCCCCCGCCATAAATCAGGATCAACCTGCCCCACTGCCACCCTGCAGGGTTGGAGCTGGAAAAAGGGACCTGCCACCGAGGTCCTTTGGAGTTATGCAGCCTCTGTGCCCGGAGTTTGTCCCCTCTTGCTAACTGACAGCAGTCCTGACGGCGAGGCCACGGGAGGACGCCTGGCTCCCCGGCCAGGGTCAGACCCGGCAGGTGCCCTGCGGCCAGAAAACACAGGATCGTCGCAACCACTGCGCACGTACGCACTGTCACTGTCCGGACAGATGGAGAAGACGGGAAGTGACTTGCCTAAGGTCATACATCTGGTCCGCAGAAAACTACCATCAGAACCCCGCGCGGAGGCCCAGAAACAAAGCCAACTCCCTCCACCCCCGCCGTCGCCGCCAGAAGCCTGGAGGGGTTTCAAACGCGGGACCGCAGCCTCCGACCCTCGACGCGACTGCCCGGTCCCGCGCCTCCCGGGCGCAGGCACCAGCCGCCCTCCCTCCGGGAGTCGCGGACACCTAGGGAGCGCACGTCACCCCCGCAGCCGCCTGCCCCTCCGGCGCGCGCACAAGTTCCTGAGCCCCGCGCGGCCCGTCGAGGTCAGAGGGCCCGGCGCGGAGAGGCCGGGGTCGGCGGCGGGACAAGCTCGGGGGACACGGAGGACGGCTCTCGCCACGGGCTCTCCTCCCGCGCGGCTAAGCAGGTGCCCGCACCCGGGGCGCTGACCCCGTAGCGCCGGGCCTGCCCCGGCGTCCCCGCCGAGGGCCCCGCGCGCCGCGCTCCCAGGCGACTCCCTGCAGGGCGGCCCCTCGCGCCGCGCCCGCCGGAGGCCGGGAAAGTTTCGGGCGCGCGGGCCGGTCGCACTCACCTGGCCCAAGTTGAGGTAGCCGTGCGCCGCGGCCACGCGGTCCGCGGCGGCCGGGCCGCCCAGCACTTGCACCGCCCAGTGGTTGGTGTAGACGGGGCGCGGCGGCGGCGGCGCGGAGCAGGCGGCGGGCAGCGCGAGCAGCAGCAGCCAGCGCCAGGGGCGCGGCGCGAGCGGCCGGAGCCCGGGCCCGCCGGCGCCGGCCGTGTCCGTGTCGGTGTCCGCGTCCCAGGCGGCGGCGGGGGCCCGGGGCGGCGGCCGGGGCCCTGGCGCGGGCGGCGCGCGCGGAGGCATGGCAACGGCAGGCTCGCTCGGCGCCCGAGCGGCGAGTGCGCCAGGGGGTGGGGTGCCGCCTTTTAAAGCCGCTCCGCGCCGGAGAAGCGCCGCCGCCGCCGCTGCGGGCGGGAGCGAGGGAGGAGGGGACGGCCGCCGCGCGTTCCCGCCCGCGCGGCCCGGCGGCGCCCTGGCCCGCGCTCAGCGGCCCGCACCCCACCTTCGCGAGCCCGGGGCGAAGCTCCCGCCTGGAACTTCCCGCAGACTTCGGGGACCCTCGGGACACGCGTTCCACTGGCGTCCGGGAGGGCCCGGGTCGTCTCAGGTGAGTCCCGTTCCCAGCCTGGCGGGCTGAGGGCCGGCGCCCCCCTCTGGTAGGGCAGCCTGGGGGCCTCATTTGCCTGATGGTGTTTTGACCTGCGTGCGAGGCCTTGCTCTTGCTCGTCCCTGCGTGAGACAAGCGGCTCGCCCTAGGTCCTGGATTCTGGGGCAAGAAGCCACAAGGAAAGACAGGTCAGGGCCCGTTCAGAGCTAGGCCTGATGGAAGGGGCTTGGTGAGGGGGGCAAAGACGTTTGGCAGATTAGCTGGCTTCGGGAGGAACCTCGGGGGACAGCCCCCAGGTTGCAGCCCACTGGGGGGTAGACGGTGCTGTGGATCCCGAGCTGTCCAGTTCCTAGCTGTGTGATCCTGGGCAAGTTGCTGTCCTTTCTGAGCACAGGGCTCCACCTGTGATAGCGGGTGACAGTAGTTATCTACCCCGTGGGGCTGTTTAGGGCATGACATGAGCGCTGGCCTTGCAATCGGATGTTGATAAATGTTTATATGAGCGCAGAGCCTGCCGCATGGTAGGTGATCACTAGCTGTGTAGACTCTTAAAAGCTCCCGCTGACCTGGGACCAATCAGTGGGAAAGTAAGTGGAATCATCTTGGCCCCTGCTGCCTGGAGCAGCCTAGAATCCAACAGAGACTTATTTGGTGCACCTGGAGAGCTGCAGAAATGTTCACACCTGCAACAGGTGAATGGCAGGATCTCTTCTCCCATTCCTCCCAAGGGGTGTTGGTCCCAACTGGCCACATGTGGAAAGCAAGCCTTTATTACCCTGATTACTACCGGCTGGTGAAGAAACAAAAGCTAGGCCAGGAAGGCCTTGAGGTGGGAAGGGAATCGTGCCCTGATGGTCTGTCTCCAGGAGCAGCCCCTTGCCTCCGGGCTGCTGTAGAGAGCTCACTGCGCGAGACTGTGGCGTGGCAGGTGGAAGGTCGGTGACGAGGGGCAGGAGCAGGTGGGGACAGAGCAGGACCCAGGCCGATGGCTTCCCCGGGTCCTTTCCAGCCTCCCTCTCAGGAGCCCTTCGGTTTCATAACCCACATGATTCATCCTTTCTGCTGGCGTGAGTCACCCCAGTGGAGGTGGGAGAACAGGGACCAGCCAAATTCTTGTTCACAAGTGCTCCTGCCAGGGGCCCCTCTGGAACCTGGGGACTGAATTCCCACACTTTCTTCCCTTTTCTGCACTAAATGCAGTTTGTCCTCCCTTTCCCTCCCCTGGCCAAGTGGGCTCAGCCCACGATGCAGAATGCAGGCCCTGAGTTTCCCTCCTGCAGATGGCCTCACCCTGCCCACATGAGAGACAGAGGCCCTAGCACAGGCTGGGCTGCCCTGCGGGAAATCGCACTGCCCTGACAGGGCAGAAACAGTACCCAGAACCCACAGCCTGTCTCTTCCCAATGCCACCCTGGCTGCCCACAGAGGAGGGACACTGGATTAAAGGCCTCCCTCTGTCACTTACCAGCAATACACTTGTCACCTTTCTGGCCCCTGTTGGCCAGACTGTCCCTCGACCCTGTCCTGGACCTTGTGTTGTACTCCTTCAAGTACGTGACCCTCTTCAAGCTAAGGCTACAATGCACATAGTCTAAGTTATTATGAAGCGGCTCATGTGTCCCCAGAGGATACTGCCAAAGCAGCAGTGATTTTGACAGATAGAGATAAGGGTTTTTCCATAATAATTTAGTAGATTAAGGGATTCAGCCCACTGAACTGAGAGGAGACTAAAATGCATCTGAATTTTTATTTGGAGGGATCCGAATTTATTTTATTAATAGATCTGCTCATTTGGGGTAAACTTTACATTTACTGTGGATGTGCCCAGACAATATCTTGGCTTCAATTTTGTCGGGAGCCCAGCTTCCCAAAATGAACATCTTAAAGCACCTGCTGTGGGTTGCTCATTGATTTACAAGGTGACAGGACAGCTTGATCCCAGAAGGACCAGCCCTTTGCACTGTGACTGGATCTGCAATAAGACCTGCCTCGTCTTCCTGTAGGGAGGGGGTTTACCACTCACTCCAGCTCCAGCTCTCCAGATGGCCCTTGAGGGCCACACAGCTCTGTAGGGACGGGGGTGGGGGGCCTGCTGCTTCCCTAGTCTGAGGTCAGCAGGCCTGCGGATGGACAGGACATAGACCACAAAGGTGACTGGAGCCAGGAAATTTTTCGGTTTTTTTTTTAAATTTTATTATTATTTTTTAAAATTATTTTTTGGTCACACTACACGGCATGTGGGATCTTAGTTCCCTGACCAGGGATAGAACCCACACACCCTGCACTGGAAGCGCGGAATCTTAACCACTTCGGAAGGAGGCAATTTCTGGATCAAATTCTGTTTCAACACACCCCAAGTGGCTATGTGAAGTCTTCTGCTATCAAGTGGTCCGGGCAGCACTGGGCACCCCTTGGCCCCAGCTGTGTAATCCTGTACTTGCTGTGAAGGGATCAATGGTGGGCATGAGAACACACTGTAATTCAGTAACATCTTCCCAGTGATGCCACCTCCTCTTGTCTGATTTGGGAAGATACTAGCATAAATATCACATCTTTGTATTAGCGTTTTCTAAAACTTCTGAAGGGAAGTTTTCTAAAGCTTCGGAAGTGTGCTAGGTTCGGTAGGTTTAGGTTGGGGTGGCATCCCTCAAAGAACGTCTGATGGGCACCACCTTCAGGATGTGGGAGAAGAGCACGCACTCAGCAGAGCTTCCCTGCCACTTGTGTGCAACCCCGGGCAAAGCTATTCCAGTATCCTCTGCCAAAATGGCAGTAATGATGCTGTGCCAATGCAGGGGATCTGTGGAGCCAGTCAAAGCTGACAGGGGCCAAGCCCCTTGCCCAGCCTGGCACCAAGTACACGCTGCGCAAATGGTGATACCGGTGACCACTGCTGCCGCTGGGCACCAGGAGCGTCCAGTGGGGTAAGATGGGCAAGGCTGCACACTCTGTCCTCTGTGGGGTTCACGGGCACATAAATGTCCTGTCCTTCCACCAGGCCTAGTTGCACATTTCCTCACATCTTAACATCCCTGAAATCGGGGAAAATCTCACAGTCCAGTGTCTTGTGATCACCACTGGCCTGGACCGAAATTGACCGAAATTGACTTCTTCCTGAGAGGATTTGTGTTTGCTCCCCCCAGTGGTCTGGGACACAGCTCCTGAGACCCCTTGGGGACCACATGGGTGGTGTGACCCCCAGCTGAGAACCAGCTTATGGTTCAAATGATCAGTACAAGCATTTCTCCCTGCCTCCACCATGGCCAGGGGACAGGCCAGGGGGCTCCCTGCTGTCCCTCTCTGGTGGTGGGTTTATTTCTCATCTTCTCCTGCACCAACGGTGCAGCCTTTCACTGGCACATGAATGGAAGAGTCCCCATGACACTTCCCAACTTGGACACTTTTGCTTTCTCAGTAATATGTCAACTCCTGACGCATCTTCCACTTAAGGGTGTCTCTTGGATTTGGTGAATATGGCATTAATGCCTCCAAGACGTATTGCAGTAGAGATGCCTATTTGACTCTCTCAAATGGCTCTGATGTTTCTTTTTGTGGCATCTATTAACATTCTACAGCAGAGGTACAGAAAGTGCCGTGTTTTTAATGAAAATCTGTTTTGACTCCTTTGGCAAAGCAAAGGTCTCCCATCGCCTGGTTAGTGTGAATTTTCAAATTCTACCCTTCTCTCAGGAGAACACCTGGATGGTTTAGACTACACAGCATTCAGAGGTGTGATGCCCGATAGGACGCATTCTGTAGAGCTGACAGCCCTGACACCAAGCCTGGATAACACACATGGTCCCTAGCCTGGGGGACAGGAGATGCTGACACAGACGCCACATAGCGAGTGGGCCTGTGATGAGAGTGGGCCCGCAGAAGAGTAGACCACTGCCTCCTTCCACCCCTTCCACACACACCCCGTCTCCTCACACCACCCTCACCCCCGGTCCCGAGAAAGCATCCAGGCCCAGGGCTTCTACAAACCAGGGGTCCCCCAAATGACTCCAAGTCTTTTCACCCCAAATTCTTCTCGCTCTGGTGGGTCAGGGGTCTTCCCTTTCCGTCTTGCTCCACCTTCCACTCTGTGTTATTGCCAGTTTATCTCATCATCTCCTCAGTGTGGGCTCTGATTCATATTGGGCTTTACTCCTTTCGAGGTGGGGGGTTGACCATCTTGGGGGGTGCGTGGAGCAGCTCTCTGCCCACCCCACTCCCACCCACTCTTTGCCTCTCTGGTTAGACTCTCCCTTTATACCTAGATCCTCGTTGTCTTAAGAGTCTTGTGAAAACTGCTTCTCCTGCAAAACAATTATCCTGAATCTAGCAATTATGTATCTCAGTGTTCCTTTCATAAACTCCCAGGCAAAAATTTAGTGTCAAACAAGGAATTTAGGAGCAAAACAGCTGAAACTCCCTCAGAAGCTCTTCCCAACTAAGAATGAAAGCTTTGCCATTTCTCTGTTTTCCCTTCTTGCCTTGGCTCCCAGGAGGCTCCGCGCCCCATGTGATAGAAAACCACAATGGTTTACTTTCTCCTTGCCGCGGCAGTTAGGATGCCTCTGGTTACAAGTACTGGAATATCCAAGTAAAAGGCACGTGGACAATAAAGATGACTCACTATCCCATGAACAGGAATTTGGTGAGAGCTGGATCCAGGGTTGTTAATTCAGCAGCTCAGTGACAGCAGGGCTCAAGATAGCCTTCCTGTCCTTTGCCTGGCCTTCTCCTCACGGACAGAGACAACTGCCCCACACTGGGGCATCTCAAGATGGCCTCCAAGGAAGGAATGGCAGGAGCGACCTTCCCTCTCCTGACTGTCTCATCTCCTTAGGGGAACACACCCAATGTCCAGTCCATTTCACCTCAGGCCCCACTGACCCGAACTGGATCACAAACCCTCCCCCTCCCAGGTAATCACTGACAGAGTAAGCGGGGTCACCCACGTTGGTTTGCATCAGTCTTGGTTTTCCTCCTGGGGAAACATCACCGCCCCAGACTGAGTAAAATCAGAGATCTGCTAGCAAGACGCTGGTCCAGGGAGGCTGCTGGCTGGGCCTACCATCTCCTCCCCTCCCTTTCTATTCCATCACCTTCATATAGATTCAGACTGCAAATGCATATTTATTGAAAGGAAGAACACAAAGGAGGAGGGAGGGAAGGAAGAGTCCCCCCCCCCCCATGCCAAGCAGACCCTCAGGATCGCACTGCATTTTACCCGAGCCCAGCAGACGGGCAGCGGGATCTGCATCTTATTCCTGGGTGAGGACATCATTCCTTTGATGCCAGGATGAATTTTGGCTTCGTTGCCTGAGCACTCTTTCCAAGTGAGAATAAATTAGGAACTTGGGCTCCGCCCCCCCCACTCTCTGCAAATTGAGCGAGGCACAAGCTGGAGAGAAGAGCTCGAAATCCAGTCCTTTCTAGACAACCATTGTCTCGGGAACCCGAGTGTATAAAGAGATAATGGGGAACGTGCATCTCAGGGGCCGGGCTGGGTGCAGCAGAGGAACTGGCTGCTACAGCCGGAGGCAGCAACGTGGTCGGTCACTCCTCTGTCCCCCCGCCCCCTCCAAGCTGCCCCTCCCTGGTTGCCCCTCCCTGGTTCCTCAGGGAACCCTCCCACCCCCACCCCGTGGGCTCCTGCTCTGGCAATTAAACACACTCATCTTTTCCTCTCCCAGATCCTTCTCCTCATCTGCACGTTTCCCAGCGCCCCGCCCCCCACCCTAAACAGGCTCCCTCACCCCCCACCCCAGGCCCTGGAGAAGGTCACCTGGCTCTTCACCTAAGGGTCACTCTGCGCCTGGCTCTCCGTTGAGTCGGCACCTGCGACCGCAGCCGACGGCGGATGGAGAACCAGCCACCTGTCTCCCTGACATGCACCATCCACACCTCCGCAGTCGTGCAAATCCCCATGCTCCTTTCTCCACCTCCCACCCTGTCCCCACCCTCACTCTCCCGAGGCCCCGCGTCTTTCTTCATCAGGTTCTCAGGGAAAACCGTCCTCTCCCACTGCACCCGTGGGCTCTGTCTCCCAACCCTGCTGCCCGAGGGGGCCCCGCTCCTGCCAAGGAACCCACTCCCTTCCTGGGCGCCCCCCTGCGCCCGCCGCCCCCCCAGCCCCGCCATGTGGTTCTTCAAGGGTGTCCCTGCACCAGCTGCTGAGTTCTCTCTTTGCTGCTGTGATTCCAGCATCTTTAAAACAGCAATAACAACGAACTCTCCAGCTACCCTCCCATTTTTCTTCCTCCCTTTATAGGAAAACAAAACTCTCAAGAAGTTGTCTCCACCCAGTGTCTCAGTTTCTCTCTGGCGCTCTCAAACCCATGCCAATCAGATCACCCCTCACTGCCTGAAGCCACACCCTGCTTGCTGTCACCACTGCCCCGGGTGGCTAGAGGCCAGGGGCCAGTTCTCAGCCCTGGTCCCCCGAGCCCTTCCTGCAGCATGTGACCACTCATCCCTGAAGCCTTTCCCACGTGGCCTCCGGGACACCCCTCCCCACCGCGCTGGTCCCCCCAGCACAGAGGCTGCTCCTCAGTCTCCACTGCTGGTTCTTAGCATCAAGGGCCCCAAGCCCCAGTTCTGGGCTTCCTCCCTCTCCCCCGCCCACCCACCTCTACCGCCCAACCGGAGACATCAGTCATTTTCATCATTGCGGGTGCCCATTACCAGCTGATGGTTCCCAACCTGTGTCACCAGCTTGGACGTCACACCTGAGCTCCAGACACTGAAGACATCTCCCCTCTGCGTCTAAGGCTCATCACACAAACTGAGCTCCTGCTCTTCCCAGCCCCCTAACCCACCCCCAGATTTCCTATCATGGTAAAGGGCAGCCCCAAAGCCTGCAGCCCCCTTGACCCCTCCCCGAGTCTAGGCTCTCAGGGAATCTGGTCATTTCTACCTTGGAAATCCATCCAGAGCCTGAGTACTTCTCACCACTCCCACTGCTACCGCCCTGGGCCAGGCCACGCTCACATGTCCCCTGGTATAACTCAGCAGTCTCCTAAATGCCCTCCCTATTCTGCCCTTGCCCCTTGAATCAGCCCTCAACACGGGGGATCATGTGAAACAGAGTCACACAGGCCACTCCCCAGCTTAGAGCCCTTCCAGGCTCAAACAGAGCAAAACCAAAGTCCTTGCAGTCCCAGAGGTCCCTTACAACCCACGCCAGCCTCCACACCCACCATGCACAGCCCGTTGGTCAGATATTGGAAGAGTACTGAACTGGATGGTTTGAGCTTCCCGGAGGAAGTGACTTTTAAGCTGAGCTCAAAGAAATAAACAGGAAATACCTAGATGAGCAGACATCAGTCAGGTCTAAGTAGGAAAACAGAGACTGCACCAAGTGTTTACAGTGGAGGGAACTGGTGACATGGATGATGGAAGAGCTGAGATGGGGAAGGGAGGGGCAACCCGACATTAACACCGACTCCCCCACCCCCCGGTATCACCCGGCTCCAGGCAAAGCGCCTGGCAGTTGGTCAGCATGTGCAAAGGCCCTGAGGCAGGAGGAAGGTGGTGTGGTGGGAGAGCTAGAAGAGAAACAAAGGGGCAGGGGCATTGATAGTGAAAGGAGGGTGGCCTGAGAAGGGACACGAGGCCAGGCTGGGGCAGCTTCACCAGCCCTGGCAAGAATTTGGACTTAATGCCAAGAGAAGTGGAAAGCAGAGGAGAGACGCTCCCGCTGTTGCGACCAGCCAAGCCTCATGGCTCTCTGCAGCCCTTCCCATCTTCAGAAGGACACACTTTGGGTCCCACACCTTTAGCTCTTTACTCAACACCCTCACTGTTCTGGTCTCTTAAAAACACCAGCCTGCTCACCTCTGCCCTGCCCAGACCCTGGCCTCAAACGTTCCCTGTGACATCCATGGAAGTGTTGTTCCCTCACCTGGCTCCTGCCTGGCTCCCCATCCTTCCCCACCCCCTGGGCTCCCGTCCCAGCGGAGGCCTCACCTTGCACACACAGACTGTCAGGATAACTTCCAACCTGGCTCTCTGCTCCAGCTCACTGCCCCTCTAACCCCACCCTCGACCTGAGGCTTGGTTCCCACGTGCTCTTGGGAGCCTACTAATAAGACCACTGTGAATGTCTGCAGCCAACAGGGTGGAGACCAAACTCCATGAGGCAGAGCCCTCATGGCCTTAGCAAGCTGGCGCTGTCTTTCTTGCTCTTCCTGCCCCATAGTGGGCCAACCACCTTCCCAGATGGACCAGCCCTTCAGGCCCAGGCTGCTTGGATTTCGACACCTCCTCCCTGGGTGTGCCTTTCTCCCCTCCCCGCCCCCACATGCAAATTCCTCCTGCCGCAGGCTACCTCCTCTGTGAAGCCTTCCTTCACCAAAAGCACCCCTCCCCTGCCCCAGCCCTCTCCCTCTTGTCGCCAGGCAGAGCTGCTCACCTGGCTGTGCTGCCTTATGTTCTGGTTCTGGAATCTCTCACACCCAGCTCGGTGCCGACTGGGGGCTGAGTCTCAGAAGCTGCTTTCCAGCTCTTGGGGCTCCCTGGACCTCCCTTTCCTCCCTGGTAAGAAGAAGCCTCAGACCTGGTGCCTTTTCCCTATACAAACAAGCTAGAACCTCCTTCTGGGGTTTCCTACAGCAGTCTCTTCCAGAACCTTGGAGGAGGATAAGCTAGTCTGACGTGGGCAGGTAGGACTGTGAAGGGAATCCTACAGGTTTAAATACAATCCATTGGAGCCCTGGGTTTTTCCTATAAATATGACTGCTGTCATCCTAAATGTCACACCATCCAGGTTATCTAGCCCTCAGTATCAGGTGACAATGATTTTGCTAAAAGAATCAAGACCAGAAGACCTGACTGTAGGTGGCCAAGAGCAGCAGCAGATCCAGGGCCAAGGGCAGTAGAGCCGGGTCTCATCGACGCCAAGCAGCCCTAGGACCAGGGCAGGCGTTGGGCTTGCCGAGCCGGGGCTGCAGGAGCGCAGAGGGGCTTTATGACAAGTCGGTGTATCACGTGAAACAAGGGGCCTAGAGACAAGAGAAGCCTGGTGACCACAGGCCCCGAGAAGCAAGACGCAAAGGCACCCACGTTCCTTTCCACATGCTGCTTCAATTTTCTGCTGACCTGAACATAGCTTCCTGCAGCATTGCCCTGGTGCGGGCCCCGGAGTCCGGTCTCAGGCAGGGCGGGGCAGCGGGCAGTGGGGTGGGCTCTGGGTAGTGGGTGGAATCCAGCCCAGTGCTTGCTGGCTGTGTCACTTTGGACAGGTCACCTCGCCTGCTAGGCCTCAGTTTCCTCCGCCGTAGATGAGACTTAAAACGGCCCCTCCATGGAGAGGAGGCAAGGTCATTCATGCAGGGCCAGGACCTCAAGGGCAGCCAGCAGTCTGGCAGCAAAGCTCCTGAGACGTGTGTCTCTGGTTTGGCAGATGCTGGCAGGGGTTGTGGTGACAGCAGAAGCGTGGGGTGGCAGGGCGCTGTGCCGAGTTACATTTAGATGTTACTAAAACCTAAATGGTTACTGTTATCTTGCTTGGATCTATGTGGTGAATTTAGGGCTTCCAAAAATCCACTTGAGGCTTTTTATATACTCACTATTTATAGTCTAAACTCTCCCAAATCCCCAACCCAGCCAAAATCATTCCTGCTGTGTTTTCTCTCCACCCAGACGCACTAGCAGCAGGGAACACAGCAGCGTGAACTGCAGCCCCAGCAAGCCCAGCACTCTTTCTCCTCAGGGAGCGAGACCCAGGAACTCCTCTGCCCTGTGCGAGGCCACTGGCCACCATGTCCAGTCCCACCAACAACGCCACCAAGCCTGCCGTTCCATACGGTCATTTCCAAAAGGTGGAAAATTTGGTAACCAAACAATATTTCTGTGACCCATACGATTTTGCGTCTAGCTGTCTTCATCTGGATCAGGGCTAATTCCCTTATTATTTTTCTTTCTCCTAAGCCCCTTTTACCCCAATCCTGTAAGGTGATCTTTCATTACAAACCAGCAACATGGAGCAGCGTGCTCCCCCCAAGCATGTAGTCATCATGGGTCACAGGTCGTCACCCTCGTTCTCTCAGTCCCCACCCTTGGGAACCTTCTCGCTCACAGCCAAAATGCTGCACCTCTCAGGCCAAACTTCATGGAGGGCTTGGGGCACAAGCAGTACCACAAGACAGCACAGCAGGAAGTGAGCTCAGGTCCTGTCTCCTGGAACAGGCAGGGGAGGGTCTGGACAGAGCAGATGCCCAGGCAGGAGAAGGAGAGGCAGTGGAGCACTGTGGTTAGAGCAGAGATTCTTGAACTGACCATCTAGGTTCTCATTCCAGCTCTGCCATTCCTAGCTGTGTGACCTCAGGCAAGTCAGTTAACCTCTCTGGGCCTAGGTTTTCCCAACTGAGGATAAAATGGGCACAAAATTTGTGTTCACCTCAAATGAGTCAAGGTAGATAAAGTGCTCTGACTTGTGCCCTGCGCTTAGACAGCATCACGTAAGAGGTGTGATTATGAGGCCAGACATCTGACTGCTACCTGTAAACACATGCTGCAGAAGTTTGTGTGCGGCTGTGTGAGCACAAATGTGCTCCAGGCCGGCCAGCCCCATGGCGCCGCTCCACGGAGACAGATGCTCCACATCCCAGACACAGAAGGAGCATGCGGCGCACAGACAGCCCCAGGGCCGTCAGGAGGGAGCGAGGCAAGGAAGGAAGGAGGAAGTGGGGGCCAAGGAAGGCAGGACAAAGCGGGGGCAAGGAAGAGAAACACTCATGTCCTACTGAGGCCTCTGCCAGGCTTTCACGTACATCTGTGTCTCATTTGTTTTTAAAGCTGCCCCGTACAGTGGTTATGATTCCTCCCATTTTACAGATAAAAGTGAATGTTGTAGTCAGGGTGGAGGGGTGGTTGTGAAGGCACAAGACAAAGGTGGAGGAGGAAGCCAAGTCACGCCCAGAGGTGCCTGTCCTGTCCCGCAGACAGTGAGCGAGATCCCTGGATGACAGGCAAGGCCCGCGAGGCCTGGAGGGCGGGGAAGCAGAACCCTCCCCTGGTCCACCTGGGGGTCGGCAGAAACGGGCGACAGGCCTGGGGAAGTCACTGGCTGATGGTGACCATCTCTGCCATCCCCACCCCAGGGCTGTGCTCCTGGGCACTCAGGGTCCCTCCAGAACTGCCCCCGGGGTCAGCAGGCTACACCGTTGCCCCTAGAGGAGATAGAGGAGGGAGGAGCCGTATCTGAAGCAGCCGGCCCAGGGAGGCCAGGAGGGAGGCCAGGGTTTCCAAGCTGGGGAACCCCTGGGTGGGGTGCCCACCAGCCCCGGAGCTGCCTCCACTCTCTGCCTGTGTCACCTCCCTGTCAGAGGAACTCAAGAAAGTGAGTGCCCTGGGTGGGGGCAAAACTGGTCCTTTGGGACACAAAGCCCAAGGATGCACCCACACCCCATGGCCTTCCTCCAGAGGCAGCAGCGTGGCCACATCTGAGGACGGGCACCGCCCACCAGCCCAGGGTGCACATTTTCACAGAGCAGTTGCAGGACTAGCTGGTAGGCTTGCAGATGAATGCTAAATGCCCAGTTGAATTTGAATTTCAGATAAACAATGAAAAAACTTTTCAGTATAAATATATCCCACACAATAGTTGGGATACACTTATACCAATTATTTATCTGAAATTCCAACTTACCTGGCTGTCCTGTAATTTTCTTTGCTAAACCTGGAAACTTTATATGGGGACCAAATGCGTCAGCTGGAACTGGGGAGGGCAGGGTATCACTAATACTTTACAAATGAAGTGCCGGGTGAAGATTTTGGTTTAAGAATTCAGAACACCTTCTGATGGGGCCAGGAATCAAGGCAATGCAAACCATTCAAAGTGTCTTGCTTTCATCTTTTTGATGCCTCCCTACCGAAGGACAAGGCACTCTGTCTATCAAGGGTCTAGAAACATCTTTCTGCCCCCAATGTCTGTTTAGAAGGCAACACCCTGCCAGTGGTATTTGGAAATTGAATTATACCTTTTTAAAACGAAAAGAAAAAGTCTTCTCTCCGGGGCAGCATTCACATGCCCATGAGCTAGGCTATCAAGTATGAATATTCTCTTAAAAATAAAATTATGGTGTACTTAAAAAGGAGCATGTTATGTCAGCACTGGTGATAAGACAATTTATTACTGTCTACAAAAAGAAGGCTCTAATGATGTGGTGGAAGCTGGCTCAGTGGGCTGTAAATTATAAGCCATTCTCTCGCTGGTGGAAATAAATCCTCCTGTCAAGTCACTGCGCTCCCCTTGTCGGCCACGGGCTGCGAAGCCGCAGTAACTACATGCCTGTCACCTGGGGAGCAGCCCCACTCCACCCCTTGGGGGTCCCCCCACTAGTCCACACAAACCTCCCACAACCTCTAGTCACATCTTTGGGACACATGTCCTTTTTGACATGAAAAAATAACAACTGTTTATGGTCTTCTAATAGGCAAAACAAAAAAGAGAAAGAGAGAGGAAGGGAGGGAGGGAGGGAGGGAAGGAAGGAAGGAAGGAAGGAAGGAAGGAAGGAAGGAAGGTGAAGGGAAGGAAGGAAACAGAATGCAGAGTTCACTGGGAGAGGAGCAGGATTCGAGATCAGAAGGCCTCACTGGACACCCTGCTTTGAGGGAAATGCCCTTCCCTCCTGAGCCAGGCTTTCCCTGGCTGGAAAATGAAGGACTTGGGCTGAAGGGGAGACCGACAGGGACTGCTGTTCCCACAGGTGCTGTGCTCCCATGCGGTGATGAGCCTCCTGAGCGGGAGGGGTTCAAGAAGAGCTGGGGCAGCACCTGCTGGAGATGGTGAGGAGGGGCCTCCTTCACCCTTCAGGAAGCTGAGCTCACACTGACTCCCAGGGCCAGCTCCCCAATTCCAGAACTCAGTGTAGAGAGCCTCAAGTCCCACCCACCCACCTCTGGCAGAGCTGGTGAGTGCCCCACATCTTCCCCTCCAGTGGCCTTACCACTGTTCAAAGGCGAGCTGTGTGATCAGCCCCTTCCCCTGGAGCCCGCTGTCTGCATCCAGACAGAGATGTGCACACCATGAACAAACAATATGGGTGATTGCTAGGCGATAAATAGGACTACATGGGTCTAGTGTGTATGAGCCTGCAGGTTAAGTGCTTTCCTAGAATGGCTGAAGGATTAGTTGGCAGGGTTGCCAGACAAATACTAGATGCTGAATTAAATTTGACTTTCAGATAAAGAATGGGAAAAAAAATTTTTTTAAGTACAAGTATATCCCACACAATAGTTGGGATATACTTATAAAACGATTTGCTATTTATCTGAAATTCCAACTTACCTGGCTGTCCTGTATTTTTCTTTGCTAAACCTGGCAACTCTTGATGGGGACCAAATGCTTCAGCTGGAACTGGGGAGGGCAGGGTATCATTAATACTTTAAGAAGTGCCAGGCGAAGGTTTTGGTTTAAGAATTCAGAACACCTTCTGATGGGGCCAGGAATCAAGCTACTCAAACCATTCAAAGTATCTTGCTGAGCTCAGATACAGGCCATTAGGCATCTAGACAGATTAAAATAACGTAAAAATAAATAAAAACAAAGAAAGACACCGACAGGGAGGGAGATAAGACTAAATGAAACATCTGAGACTACAGTAATAACCCTTGGGGCCTCAGGCAGCAGCATCCGTGGGAGAAGTGGTGGCTCGGAAGTGGCTCGTGCCAGGGAGGTTTTGCGAGCTGGTGTATCAGGCAGTATTTGGGTGACCCGGGAAGCACCCCTCTGCCTGCCAGTCCCCCTCCCATCCTGGCCCCAGCGGGATCTGCCCAGGCCAGGAGTGCCGCAGCACCCATTTGCTGTGCTCGTTCCCCGCCCCCCAGGGTCCTTCCCTGCTCCCACTACCCACCCTGACACCCCAGCAAAATGGACAATTGTCCAAGTCACAGGCACCCCTCCCAAACAATTCCTATTTCTTCTATTTTGTCATTTCCTTTCACATCTTATCTGTCTTCTTGAGTTTTCAATTGTTTTTCCTCCATTTTCTTGTTACTTATTTTCCCCCCAGAAATGTTTTTCTGATCGTCAGCAAGACACCTATGCCTATATATAACCCAACGTGAATTGTGTCTGTTGCCCTTTCTGCCCCATGGGACTAGGCACCCGTGAACTTTTCCGTGAACTCTGCTTTGCTGGGGCAGGCGTGGTGAGAGACACAGCACGTGGGGCAGCTCGGACACCAGGCAGGAGGCCGTGGGGACACACACCGCGCTTTGCAAGGAGGAGTCCAGGAGGAATGTCAACAGCACTGTCTTCTAGTCCAAAAGAGGGGGCAGGGTTAAGGGTTAGCGACTGCAGTTCTACATTAACCAGCCCTTCTGGGGATCTATAGAATAATGACAATGTTTGGACTGTCGGTGTCAAGGCTGTAAGCAGTCCTAGGGTTGTCTGAGCCACGGGTCAAAGAGAATCTACGATACAGTAATTTACTGAACTGTTCTCTAATTACATGAAAATTGTCATCCACGTCTGCCACACACGGGAACAGGGAGCCAACCATGTTCTGACTAATCTACGTGTTGTCAGGTTCATGGAGAGCTGGCTGTACCTACCATCGCTGGACCCAAAATTCTTCCTATTCTGTATTATTTTGTGCTTTTGCCCAGAGAAAAATGATGGATTAAAGCAGAAAAGCAGGTACAGGCTGTCCCCACATGAGCACGTTAAAAGGCAAAGAGATATCGAAATGTCAAACTTTTGCCACCAGCCCATCATTTGAACGCTTTTCCAGCCGAGCGCATCTGCAGTGACATCGACCCCTCCCTGTGCTTCACCAGGCAAGGGGGGTGCTCCCGCTGGCCGTCACCAGGGACCTGGACCAAACCCTGATGTGGGGTGAGCGGTCATCCCTCGTGCTGGAGGAGCAATCAGGATGCACCATGTCAGTGGGTGTCTGGGAGCCTTTCAGACCAACCAAGCGTTAATAGCCCATCTTGGCCCCAGATCCTCTAACACGGCCCTGACACTGCTCTTCTCAGAGCTTCACACGAAGGTGACGCGGTTTCTCGTTTTAAGTGAGACCGACATGCACACTACCTCCGTGCAGACATACATCACTCAAAGCTTTTCCCACAGATGCCAAAAGGGTCCGACCCACAGCCCCAAAGGCAAAGATAACCAAGTGGTCGTTAAAACTGAACAAATGCAATCAAGATAAGAGTCTAAGTGCTAGTGGAAAAGACAGTGGCACTGAAAATAGCCTGAAGGGGCTGGCAAGATGGCCTGCATTTTTGCCCAGGTGAGGATTTTTTCCATGTGAAATATGTAAGCGATGTACAGATTCCACCAACCCTGAACACCAGATTGGATCTAAGGGTCAGAGCATTCACTGATGCTGAAATTCAGGGGTCGCCCAGGCTGTCCACGCCATCCTTATGCACCTCGGCTCTTGGGGTGGTAGGGGTGAACATGAGGAGGGAGATCCCTTGGGGCTGGGCCCACATGCCTGCCGTTTCCGAGGCCTTCGGACACTGGGCCTGTGACCTGGGCTGTTAGACATGGTCCACTGGAGGCTTAGCTTGGCATGTAAGAGGTCATGCAATGTAGGAACTACCTCCCACAACGAGACGGGAAGGGAACTGGGAGAACAGGAGGCCGTGGGCACCTGCCAGGTGGCGGGTCAGCTGCCAGCTCACTGGGGTCTGTCTGCTGGAACCCAGAGGTGGCTGTCGGGGTGGGGAGGCGGGTAAACAGGAAGCAAAAAGGGTCTCCAAGTCTTCTGAACTAACCTGGGCTTTCTTACATGATTCTCTCATAAGACCAGCATGCAAGGGACCCTCTCCGAGCAGAGGCCACTACAGAAATCTGTCAGAGTGGCGGCGGGTGGAGGGGCTGGGGGAGAGTTCCAGCTGGCAGTTGGCTCTATCAGTAAAGGTCATAATAATGGACTTTCTTCTATACTTAGTCTTGTCCTGTTCTTAGGTCTTCTACATCACATTCTACCAAAACCACTCGGCCACTTTGATTCATAACTCGGACACTTTTCTTATCATCCACCTGGCACACGCATGCGCACACCCATGCGCGTGTGCACACACACAGCCATCAAAACAACACCCTGTGTCCACAGTAAGCTTATCCTTAATTTTGCAGAGGTCCTAATGAGGAAGGGACTGTCCCTCCTACTCCCAGCAAGGCCACCATCCTGAAGCCTGATGACAAATGGATGACAAATGCTGAAGACCCTCGTGTCCTGATGGTCTAAGACACTGCTTTTCACTATCAACTTTTTCACATCTAGTTCTCAGAACAAGGATGTATTTATTCACAATGCAACTGTGTTGTGCCTGTCTCCGCCTATCAATAACCAGTGTTGTGGATGGATGGGCCCTTGTGGTTATTATTATGACTGCAAGATACCCTTCAGCAACAGCCATCAGGAAACTTGGAGAAAATAAAGGTTCATTACCTACAGGACCTGGAAATTACACAGCCACACAGAGAGTTCTCGGTGCTGGGGTTCTGCTTTTACTGGGGTTGAGGGAGGGGCCTAGGGTTTCACAGGCTCGCTCACTATTGCTGAATTTAAAACACAAGAGCAGGAAGGGGAAAAAAAAACCCAAGTGGCCCAAATGGTTAGTTATTGAAATCAACCAAGATCTCTAAAACGGGGAACCTCAGTGAAGGAGGCAGTCTGGCTCTCTATCCAGCCCTGTGGCTGGCTGTGTGTTTACCGAGACAGCCGTCTTTGAAGTGGATGCCTAGGCGATCAGAGAGTAAGTCAGGCACTTGCAATGCAAAACAGAAAAGACAAACAGAAACGAAAAACTGTCTGGGCTTGCACTACATCAACATTTTATTTTATTTTATTCATTTAAAGCATTTCAAAATGCTTTTCTGAATATGTGCGGTAGAAGAGGCCACATAATGAAAAGCAAAGGCCACCCACTCCGCTCCCTTCCCCACCCACAGTCCCAGAAGCTGCCATCCTTTTTTTTGGACCATCTTTAACCATTTCTGCATTTGGCTTTTCTGGTGGTTAGCATCTTAATTTTAGCACACTATGGCTCTATCTTGACATTCAGCTTGACTCTTTGCTGTGAAACACAGGCTTTAGCTAACACACTACTCCCTCCTCTAAATTTTAAGAGTTACTATTTAAATTTTTCTGTTGGCTACCTTTGAAACATTGTCTCACACCTAATCTTACTTCTTCTATTGTTTTCAGACAATCTCTTAATTTCTCTCAACTATACCCTGACAACATTTAAATTGTCAGAGTTGATAATTTTATATACTATTTTATGAACATAATTCTTTCATGTTTTGTCCATAAGCTGATTCTTAAAACCTAAAAAACAATAAACACTGTTTACGCTATTATGAGTTAGTAAATACTGTTCCTTCAAAGTCAGTCAGGATAGTAGGATTTTATTTCCTTCTCTGTGGGTCCAGTGTCATTAACTACAAGAATCACGAATGGTCAATCATTAAATTCATGTCACTTTGCTTCCTTCACATTTAGACGCAGACATGAGCTTCTCACATAACTTTTTGTTCTTGGAATATTTATTTGCCTTATTTTTTCTTTGCTGGATCTTTGAGATTACCAAGCCTCTTAATTCTACTATTTCTTGAAGTTTTTTGCTGGAATATATCCTGCAGTAACAGAAAGAGCACTTTGGAGATCAGTTTTTAGAGTACTTATAAATCTAAAACTCTTTGTTTTCTCACAGGCATAACAATTTTCTTCATATAGAATACTGGGTTTTAAATTATATTTTTCAGAATTTTTTCTTCTTCTAATATCCAATGTTCCTGGTAAGATGTCTGAGGCCAGCATTATTTTTGCTCTTTCAAGGATGACTTCTTCTCTCCTGGAAGCTTTAGGAATTTCTCTTTATGTGTGATGTCCTGAAATCTCTTGAGTCTGCATCAAGGCATGAATCTTTTATTCTCTGTCCTACTTGGAGCTTGGAGGGTCTTTTAGTCCGGAGATAACTATGTTTCTTCAGTTCTGAGAAACTTTCTTCTATAGTGTCTTTATTCTTTTAATTTTAATAAAAGTTGTACATTTACATGGTTTAAAAATCATACAGTTCTATAGGTCTTACATGAAGTTAGCTGTTTCCTTTCCACACCCCAGAAGCCACTACTTCTGATGTTTTTAGCCTCTGATATTTGCCTCTGTATTTGTAAATCACATGCTTAAATTCCAATGTATTGATTTTTGTTTATTTTAAATATAATGTATTTACTTCAGACAATGGACAATAAGGGTTCAGCTCTCGCACTCCACTCCCATACCCTAAAATACATTTCTTTCCCTTCCCATTCTTCTAATAGAATGGTATAATAATTTTTGGACAAATCAATATTTAGCATTTATATTATTATGACTGTAAATATTATTTGAGGCTGTAGCATGTGGTACATTAAAATTTTCTTTCTTATACAATTTTTTGTTTTCACTGGAGGCAATTTTTTTTTCCATTTGTTTAGTTTTTTTATGTACCTATCACAAATTCATCCCCAAACTCTTCAACAGAAAAAAAAATCTCCCCTTTCCTGGGAAAGAAAATATGAGCAATTTTTTTAAAATTCAGGACACTGCATATCTGAAACTGTCCATTAGTAACAGCATGATGAGAGTCTGAGGATACAGAATTCTAAGACATCATTTTCAACAAGAACTGTGAAGGTCTTTCTTATCCTTTACCTTCAGCCTTGCTGCTGAGAAGTCTAATACAGGACTAATACTAGGCCTTGTGGGCCTATTCTTTCTCTCTGGGAACTTTAGTGCCTTTTTTTTGTCCCCAGTGTTTTAAAACTTTTCACTGGTGTGTCTTGTGTGGCTTTGTTTCCACTCATCGTGCTGGACAAGTGGTAAACCCCTCAGACTAGAAATCCAGTCTTTTGTGTGCAAGAAATTTCCTTGAGTTGTTTCTTTGGTATATTGCCCCTCCATTTTCTTTCTTCTCTATTTTTGAAAGTTCTATAATTTAAACTGTTCCATTTCCTGCTTAGTCTAATTTTCTTAGCTTTTAGCTTCTATTTTCCATTTCTTTGTTGGAGTTGTTCTAATTATTAGATTTCCTCAACTTTCTTTCCAGGCTTCTACTAAATATTTCATTTCTGCTTTTTTATTTTTAAATTCCAAAATCATTTTTGTGTTCTAAATCCTCCTTTCTACAGCAATATTCTTTGATCAGCCTTATTGAAGTATAATTAATATGTAATTGTCCACATCTAAAATATACAATTTGATAAGTTTTGACATATGTATATACCGATGAAACCATCACCATAATCAATAGAATAATTTTTTCTTAGATGAATTACGGTTTTGATAAATTTTTACCTGACTCATGCTCACAAAGATTTTTTTCCTATGTTTTCTTTATCTAGAAAATGTGTAGTTTTAGGATTTACATTTTGGTCTATGATCCAATGTAAACCAATAAACAGGGTTCTTTTTTTTTTTTGCATATGTGTATCAAATTGTTCCAGTGCTATTTATTGAAAAGGCTATCCCTTTCTCCTTGAATCGCCTTGGGGTCTTTCTCAAAAATTAATTGCCCATACATGTGTGAGTCTATGTCTGGACTCTCCTCTCCTCCACTGATCTGCTTGTGTATCTTTACACCAATACCATCCTACTTGATTACTGTAGCTACATCATAAGTCTGAAAATCAGGTAGTGAAAACCCTCCTCATTTGTTCTTCTCTTCAAAGTTGTTTTGGCCATTCTGGGTCCTTTGCATTTACATATAAATTTTAGAAATAGTGAATTAATATCTACAAAACAATCTGCTGGGATTCTGATTGTGTTAAATCTATACATCAATTTGGAGAGACCCATCCTGTTAATAATATTGAGATTTCTGATCCATGAACAAGGCATTATCTCTCCATTTGTTTAGATCCTCCTTAATTTGTCTTAGCACAAAGGTGTTTCACATCTTTCATCAAGCTTATCCCTAAATATCTAATTTTTTGATGCTACTGTAAATGGTATTGTTTTTGAAACTTTAATTTCTAATTATTCATTGCTAGTATATAGAAACACATTAACTTTTTTTGTACATGGATCAAATATCCTATAATCTTACTGTAACTACTTCTTAGCTCTAGTAGCTCTTTGTAGATTTTGTAAAGACTTCTACAAGGATGATCATGTCTATAAATAAAGACAGTTTTTCTTCTTTTTTCCCATCTGGATGCCTTATATTTTTTTCTTGCCTTATTGAATGGACAAGAACTTCCAGGACAAGGTTGAATAGAAATACTGAAAGCAGACATCCTAGCTTTGTTTCTTGTCTTAGAGGGAAAACATTCAGTTGTTTTTTTTTTAAACTTAAAAGATCACTTTCTTAGAGGTACAACGTAATAATCACAAAAGAAATCTTGTGAGGGAAAGGTGAATTTTTCTAACAAAGCACAACATACTGAAACATAACATTGTGGGTGCTTTTCCTTTTTTTTTTTTTAAATAGACTTTATTTTTCAGGGCAGTTTTAGGCTCACAGCAAAATTGAGCAGAAAGTACAGAGAATTCCTATATACACCCCAGCCCCCACACATGGACAGCCTCATCCACTATCAACATCCTGCCCCAGAGTGGGACATCTGTTACTGTCTTTTCACTGTCTCCATGGTTTTACCTTTTCCAAAATGTCATACAGTTGGAATCATACAGTATGCAGCCTTTTCAGATTGGCTTCTTTTACTTAACAATATGCATTTATGTTTCCTCCATATCTTTTCATGGCTTGATAGCTCATTACTTTTTAGTGATGAATAATATTCCATTGTATGGATGTACCACAGTTTATCCATTCTTCTACTGAATGAAATCTTGGTTGCTTCCAAATTTTGGCAATTATGAATAAAGCTGCTATAAATATCTGTGTGCAGTTTTTGTGTGTGGATGTAACTTTTCAACTCATTTGGATAAATACCAAGTAGTGCAATTGCTGGATTGTATGGTAAGCATATGGTTAGTTTTGTAAGAAACTACCACTGTCTTCCAAAGTGGATTTAGTGTTTTGCATTCCAGCAGCAATGAATGAGAATTCCTGTTGCTCTGTATCCTCACCAACATTTGATGTTGTCAGTGTTTTGGATTTAGATTCTAACAGGTGTGTGGCAGTATCTTATTGTTGCTTTAAGCATTCAGGTTTCCACCATTAAATTTGATGTTAGCTATAGTTTTTTCATAGACACCTTTTATCAGGTCAAGGAAGTTCTCTTCTAATTGTACTTTGCTGAGTGTTGTGACCAGGAATGGATGTTAGATTTTGTTAAATGCTTTGTCTGCATATACTGAGATG